ACATTAAACTCTACACACTCAGGGACCGATCCTGCAGAGAAGTCATGTCATAGAACCATAGAGCTGGAAGAGACCTCAGAAGGTCATCAAGTTTAAATCCAGGGGAGGCCCTTCCTGAGCCTCGCAAGAGGAGATAATAGCGCATTAAATTATGGCTTCTGCCAAATTGCCACAAACATCAGTATCTCATCAGCTTGTCATTGCTATGTTAAATCTCCCCAGGAAACATAACCCGCCCTCTTGCTCCTTTCGAGTTCTGTCCCCTTAACATTATAATAAATCACTTCTAAGCTGACTTGCCTCTGGGTTGTGCCTTACACACACGTGTTGCACAGGAGGGTGAGAAGCGCATCCCCCCCCCCCGCCATACCAAGAGTATCAGAAAATTTCAAAGAGATCAATAAAATATGAAACCCTCAGGACGTGCCTGTTATCACTTCCTCTTGGAGTGTACTCCACTGCGGTGCAGCACCTCGGGGTGAAACCCCGCTGCCCCGAGCCAAAGCAGTTGGGTTGCACACTTTGGACTTGGAAGCAGGAAGCCTGCAGCACAGCCTGCTATTCCAGGCAAACCAGGCTGCCGCAAGGGGCCCGTTACTACAGCTGCTCGTGCAAGGGGATGGAACCATTGGCTTCCTGTCAAGGCTGATTCTACTCCTCCCCGTCAGCCTCTTTGCTGCCTCCTCCTCCATGTAGCGTGACTGTCATAGCGTCTCACCTCCCTACTGCACAGGGTGGGTGGAGAGGCCAACACACCCGTACTACAATGGGAATCTCACCCGTACTACAATGGCCACCACCAGCCTTCCCAAAAGTTTATTAATGGACATACTCAGTGGCCACTTTTCTAATCTGAACATGTTAGGTGCAAATTATCTGGGGCCCAGGCCCGTTCCACTTAAAGTCACTGAGAAAAATGTCCTTTGGCTTCCATGGTAGCAGAAGCAAAAGCCTTGTTTAAATACCTGGGTTACGTCTAGACTGGCATGATTTTCCGGAAATGCTTTTAACAGAAAAGTTTCCAAAAAAGCATTTTCGGAACAGAGCGTCTAGATTGGCACGGACGCTTTTCCGCAAAAGTACTTTTTGTGGAAAAGCGTCCATGCCAATCTAGACGCGCTTTTCTGCAAAAAAGACCCGATCGCCATTTTCGCGATCAGGGCTTTTTTGCGGAAAACAAATCTGAGCTGTCTACACTGGCCCTTTTGCGCAAAAGTTTTGCGCAAAAGGACTTTTGCCCCAACGGGAGCAGCATAGTATTTCCGCAAGAACACTGACAATCTTACATGAGATTGTCAGTGCTTTTGCGGAAATTCAAGCGGCCAGTGTAGCCAGCTGGCAAGTTTTTCCGGAAAAGTGGCTGATTTTCTGGAAAAACTGGTCAGTCTAGACACAGCCCTGGAGTGGAGAGTGCACCAGTTTGAAACATGATTCTGCAGTTCTTAGTCAGGCAAAAAAACCCATTGATCAAGCTATGCACGCAGGTTCAGGTCTCTTGGGGAAGTGACCCAGTAAAATCAAGCTCAGTGTTAGGCTATCCCGGGATAGAAAGTGGCTACTGGGAGTATTCTGTAATAACTTTGAACAGAGATTTTTTTTGATTGTCCATTGAGAGTCTACAGTGCAGTTCAAGCAGATGTTTCACCTGAATAAGGGCTGCAGGATCAGGGGTCTAAGAACATATGTGTTGCAAATGTCATGTGTTTGAAGTCCAAGCTGTTTTTTAATGATAACAAAGAAAGACACTCTGAGTGATGAAGGTGGGTGTGTGTGTCGGCTATTTCCCACCTCCCCCCTTCAAATTAACGCCTTGACTCTTTTGGAGTCAAAGTCGTCTTGCCAGAAAAGGTTCATGCCAGAGCGTCTCAAAATGTCCAGGCAGATTTTTATACCAAGTTGCTCAAAAAGAAACACATTCTTGATCTGAAGCCCTGTGGGCCAGGTTTCAGGGTAAGTACAGACGCCTCCAGTTTACAAGTGGCAAGAAACAGTGATTGCAATAGAAACCCCACCACACCCGTGGCTGCAGAGGCACCAACACGAGCTGCACACATGCCTGTAGGAAGAGAGAGGGGTGAGCAGTTGCTGTTGCCTGTTTGAGTGATGTGGGCTTTTCCCTGGACGCCTATTCAATGGTGTGCCTTTCCTATGTCTGCCTCACTGGGGCAAATTGACTTTTTGCAACAAGGGAGTGATAGTCATCCAACTGTGCTTTTTCGTAACAACAGGCCTTTGCCAGCTGCACATACACCTCTGTGCATGACAGAAGAACACATTTATGTCGTGTCTACACACTAACTAGAAGTGAATTTGGTTTTAATCCATACCTTTAGTTCTTTTGGGGGAAGTTTGTATGGGACTCATATCAGAAGAGGCATGTTCATATTTTTATTTAATGTAAGGGGAGAAAAAAATCGCCTTCAGATAAATCTAATTAGGGTTCTCTTAATCCAGAATAAGCCTGTGCACACCTAAATGAGTGTCGAAATAACGAAAGGTGTGAATTAAAATCGGTTTAATTGTTTGGAATGAGTTTGAGAGAGTACACACAATTCATTTTCTCCCAGCCATCTTCCACCATTGCAATTTACAGACCGCAAACACAACTGAAGTCAATTAAGATAAAAGATTTACACGACTTCATCCCCTGGCATGTTTGACTGCCTGCTCAGTACAAGACATCGTGATATTCTGGATATCATCTTTCCTATCAGCCTCTTCAAAATCCTTTCCAGAGTTAGACACGAATATGATTCCCAGGAGAATGTGGGATACATTAGGCTTGTCCCCCCAATAATGGATTGGGGTTTTGAAGAGACAAAAATTTAAGAAAACACCCCCCCTACCCACACACACAGACACTTTACACACATTATTAAAGTCATTGGACCAGATGCTGGAGTACAGCAGAACTCTTGAATCCTAGTCTCTTAGTTCTAACACTGGGGCTTCTGTAATCAGGGTATCAGACTGGAAGGAACTAAGTCATTGGTTATAATAGCAGGCCCTGAACTAGGGAATAGGATGGACCAGTGGTAAGAGCAGAGCCCAAGACCTACAAACACATGTGGGTTGCCAGTGTGACTTGAGCAAGTCGCTGTGTGTATCACTGCTGCAGACTGGGAATAAAAACAACACCTTTCCGCCTCACCGGGGATGTGATGAGATGCCCAGGTAACCAGGGGGTGGGGGCAATTGCTTGGGGCTGTTGTCTCTGTGAGAGTGAGGAGAAAAGAATTGGACTGCTCCTGCCCCTCTGTCCTCTCCCTCTGCCCCCCAGCATTCCTCCTTCCCTCCCTACTCCCTTTCATCCCTGTCCCTTGCTTTGCCACCTCCAGCCTTTCCTTCTTTTAGGGCAGTAGTTCTCAGCTAGGGGTTCCGGGGCCCACTGGAAGGCCACCAGGCAGTTTCAGAGGGCCCACCGAGCAAGCAGCCCAGCCATTAGACTGGCTGGGGCCCAAGGCAGAAAGATGAAGCCCCACTTTATAGGGCTGAGTGGCCCTGAGCCCTGCTACCTGGGGCTGAGGCAGGAGCCTGAGCCATTAAGGCCCCCTTGTGGTGTGGGGCACAGGTTGCTGCCCTGTAGGCTGGCCCTGGCATTCATATGCAGAGAAACAGTAGTTGGGGCACAGGTGGCTGGGGGAGGTTTTGGAGTATATTGGGGGCTGCGAAGCTCAGAAAGAAATCGCCTCCCCCCACACCAAACTTTGCACTTGCTCCAATCTGCAGCCTCATGGAGAAGTTTCACTTCCTGCCCGTTTGCAACTTCTTTTTCCCCCAGATCAGCAAAAAGAAAAACTCAGGCCTCAGAGCGCAACACCCCACCCAGGCGACAGGCATCTTTCGAAATCCTCCAACCTCCCCCCCGCCCCCCACACACACCCCCAGCGGCTCTCGCTCCAGGACGGGGCTGCGGCAGCTGCGCGGAGGCGACAGAGCGAACCAAAGAACTAAATCAACCCGCCCCGAGCGGGTCACAAACCTGCCCCAGTCCCTTTGCAGCACAGCTGGGCAGCGGGCGAGGATGAAACTCTGTGCGCATGGCGGCGGCTCTGGGAGGGCCCGATCCTTTCGGGCCCGACCCTGTCTCACAAGGGAGGAGGCCTGGGCGCTGGGGAGGGTGAATATAGGAAACCACATGGCGAGTTTTGGGGTGGTCTTATGGCCGCGAGCGGGAGGAGCTGGGGCGCAACTCCTGTTATACTCCTCCACTCGGAAATAACGCCTGGAAAACGGGCAACCGGCCACCTTAGCAGCGCTGCCTTCCAAGCAGACATGGCAAGGGGGAAGGCATCGGAGTCCCTGACCCTGCGAGGGGCACACCTCTGGGGCGAGCCTGGAGGCAGCTCCCCTGCGTCAGCCCCAGGCGCTTTTAGTTTGCGCTGAAAATAAGATGAGCCCCCGCTGCGCTCCTCTGCATCCAAAGTTCAGCGCAAGGGGGGCGAAAACCCGGGCGAGGCGCGCGAGGAGAAGCTGGCATTGCTTCTGGAGGGCGGGAGCGCTCGCCTTTCACGCCGGGCAGGTCCAGCAGGGATCGGGACCCCTTCCCGAGACAGCCGGCCTGAGCCACATCGCCAGCCAGCCACGCACCCCGGGCTTTCCCTGAAGAGGGATCTTCCGCCCCCGCCGCCCCAGCCAGGAGCCCGCATATCCCCGCCTTGAAATGAACAGCTCGCACGCCAGAGACACCCTCAGCCACCTACACACACCCCGCTCTGCCTCCGCGCCTGGCCCCGGCGCGCACGCTGCGCACTGGCCGGCCAGAGCCCTGGCGAACGCCACCTCCCGCAGCCCCAGGAAGGGGAAGAAAAGGGAAGCGTGAAAGGGGGAGGGTGGCGGGAGGAGGCGAATCGGGCCACTCTCCTTGGGATCGGAGTTTGGACAAGATCCAGCTTCCCCCCTCCCTCCCCCAAACACACCCCGCTCCAAAGCGCGGCCCTCCCCCACCTGGGGTGGGGGCTGTCTCCTCCCCACGGCCGCCCCCGCCAGATCCCTCTTACTTTAATAGTTCCGTCCATCTAGAATAATCTCCAGCCGAGTCCAGCGATATTCCACACATTGACCCGGTTTAGCCTGGCCCCGCAGCCCCCTGAAGTGCTGATCCTCGCGCTTTCTGACCCCACCCCCCAAGATTTTACTTTTCCTTCGCGCTCTCTCGCTCGCTCTTTTAACTTTTGCTGGGTGCAGCGGAGCGCTAAAGAGACAGTTAACCGGATGAAACTTTTTTTCTGCTAATTTTGGGAAGTGAAGTCACTTGAGGAGGAAACCTTCTGTCTCTCCGCTGGGTCCTGCCTTCTGGGTTCAAACAGAGCGGTGCGTTTACATCCAGGATATTTGCGCCGCGCAGATAAGAGCGGGGCAGAACAATAGCGGTTTCTTCGGGCTCGCTCCGCTTGGCGAGCCCAGCGGAGAGCCGCGTCGCAGCAATAGGCTGCGCTACCACGCACTGTGTCATCAGAAAGTCGATGTGAACATGGACTTGGTAGGGTGGGTTTTTTTTGTTTTTTTTTTTTGTTTTTGGCTGAAGCCAAGCAGCCTGAGTCACTGAATTTCCATCTCTTCCCACAGATTTTTTTATTAATGCTTTTTCCAGTCACAGGCAAAATTAAAGGGGGGGGGGGGTGGGGCACGTAAGTCTA